ACAGGGAATCCTCAAAGGAAGAGGTACAAATGGCCAGTAAGTACATGAAGAAGTGTTCAATTTCCCTGATTATAAAAGAGATGCAAATCAAAACAACACTTAGATTTCATCTCACCCCAGTTAAAATGGTTATAATCAACTGTAATTATAATAAACAAGTACTGGCAAGGATGTGGTGAAACAGGAACTCTTGTACACTGCTGATGGGAATACAATTTAGTATAACCACATGGAAAGCAGTATGGAGATTTCTCAAAAAACTAGAGATAGAACTGCCATTTGATCCAGTGATACTGCTCCTAGGCATCTACCCAAAAGACTGTAAGATGGGATACAGTAGAAACACCTGTACACCAATGTTCATTGCAGCACTAGTCACAATAGCTAAGCTTCGGAAACAACCCAGATACCCTACAACTGATGAATGAACCACATGAAATTGTGGTACATATACACAATGAGGTATTACTCAGCCACAAGGAATAATTACACGGGGTTTGAAGGTAAATGGATGCAATTGGAGGAAATCATGTTAAGTGAAGTTATCCAGGATCAGACACACAAAAGATGCATGTTTTCCCTCATATGGGGAAGACAGATCCAAAGATAAACATGTATACAAAAACAAGCATATACAAACTCAAATGTAGAATATGTTTGTAACAGTGGCACTACTTTATGGAACTCGGGAAAAGTGGGAGAGGAAAAGAGAATGATAGAGCATCAGTAATACTGCATACCATAAGATGTAAAGGTAGAGATAAAAGGATGTGTACTGGAAACTGTTGAAAAATGGCGGGGAGGGAGGTAAAGGGTAAGGGAGAGTATTCGAAGGGATTGAACAGACAAAGTAAAGCACACCCACAGAGGGCATACACTGAGACACCCCTTTGAATGTCAACTTAAATATTAATAATGAAAATCAGGACTGAAAAACAGGCACATTGTGTGTGAGTGGAAGTACTAGTGGGGGGGGGAGGATGAAGGAAGGAGATTGAGGTGATGATATGATTGATAGCCTTCAAAAACCTATATGAAACAAAACTAAATAACCTCTTGCAGTTGCTTTAAGCGGGGTGAAGAGGGTTTGAGGAGGAGAGATGATGGGGGCGGGCAATGTAAATAATGTACAACATAAGTCTAATCAAAACTGTCACCATGAACCCCCTCCTGTATAATAAATATATCCTAATAAATAATTTATAATAAAAAAAAGAAATTTGCCTGAAAAAAATCAACTTAAAGCAACTACTCATTTTAAGAAGTTAGAAAAAAGAAGTTAGAAAAAATTAAACCCAAAGAAAGTATGGACATTATAAAGAATAGAAATTAATGAAATTCAAAACAAACATAATATAGAAATTCAACAAAGCTAAGGACTGGTCTTTGTTAGACCTCTGGCAAAACTGATCAAGAAAATGAAAGCCAGGGCAGGAGGAGTGGTTTAAATGTCTAGCAAACATCAGGTACCGAGTTCAAACCCCTGTATGCAAAATAAATAAATGAATAAAAAAAGAATACATACATAAAAATAAAGAAAAAAAAAGAAGGAAAGAAAAGCAAAGCCAGAGGCTGAGAATATAGTTCAGTGATTAGATACTTGCCTAGTATGTGCAAGGCCCTGAGTTTGATCTCTAGCTACACACACACACACACACACACACACACACACAGCCACAAATTACCCATAATAGAAATGAAAAAAAAAATCCACAGAATTTTCAGTTATAGTCTTATTGTTCAATTGTCTTACTGAAAGGCAATAGAAAGGAAAACAATTTTTTGTTAATTTACTTGAAGTGAATTCTTTCAAAAAGAAACCACCAAAACGGACACAAGAAGAAATGCAGCAATTTTCATATTTTCTTTAATGTTACTTCAAAATGTCCCACATAGCAAACCTCAGGTCATTAGTTAACTTTACCTGTAAATTTAAATATCTAAGGAGGAAATAATACCAATCTTATATAAACTCTTTAGGAGAACGGATACAGAGTCCCTTTTCAGTCTTTGGCTAAAAGCAAGTGCAAAGATACTAATTATCAACCCATTTTAAGAGGCTAGCATAAGCCTGATACCAAAACACCACAAGATTAGAAGAACAGAGAGTAATAGGTTAATCTTTCTCATGAAGTTTGATGTAAATATCTGAACAATATTAGCAAACCAAATCTAGTGATACATGAAAAGACTAATGCACCAACCTAGATTTATTCTAGGATTTCAAGGTTGGTTTAACATTTAGAAATCAACTAACATAATTCACACAGTAACAATAAAGCAGGAAAATCATGATTATTTTGAAAATGCAACTGATAAAATTCAATACACATTCATGATACAAACTCTAATTCAAATAGGAATAGAAGGGAATTTCTTTAAGCTAATAAAATGTACTTACAAAAAAAAAATCCTACAGCTGGGCTGTGGATGTAGCTCAGTGGTAAAGTACTTGCCTAGCATGCACAAGGCTCTGTGTTTGATACCCAGTACCACACACACACACACACACACACACACACACACACTCCTATAGTAATCACCTTACTTAATGGTACTATATTAAAAACTTCTCCTGCAATTAAGAATGAAATAAAGATGCTTGTTATTGACACTTGTATTCTACATTGTACTGAGTTTTGGCTGATTCAGTAAGACAAAGGGGGATAAAGAGTAAGATGAAAGGTGAATCACATGAGTAGACCAGGCTCTGGGTGGGAACAGGAAAGAGGGGTCACAGGGGTAAAAGGAGAGACAGAAAATTGGACAAAAGTTCAATTTCAACTTCAAATTGTAAAGCACTAGACTACAACTTTGTATCTATTAAGCTTCTCTGATTCTGCCTACAGATCTGTAGGGTAGATAAAGCAGGGACTGTGTTGTCTATTTCTGTTTTGTAGGTGATACAACTAAGCCTCAGCAGGTAAACTGATTAGTCCAAGGTCACTCTTTAAGAAAGAAAAAAGCAATTGATTCAGGAAGTAACGGTTTCAATCTAAGTTTCCTTTTAATATGCTATGTTCTTTCCCAGAAAAGGAGATAAGAGAAGTTCTAAAGGAAAATTTTGCCTAAAATATGCTATTGGGTCTCCCAAACCTAAATAAAGTTTCCATTGAACTAATTTTTCTAGAACTTGCTTTTCTTCATGTCTAAGAATTTAGGAACATGGTAGGCTGAAATGAGACAAACAGGTTCCTTCCCACTTCAAATTCATAAAAATTCACATTTGTATATATGAGAGAGAGAAATAGAGAGAGAGAGAAAAGAAAGAGAGAGAGAGACTCTCAAGAGAAAGAAAGGGATATCCCTGGATGGTAGAAATAAAGAAAATTTAAAATCAGAGTTAGAAGAAGGAACTGATACAGATTGAGATACAGTTTCAGGGGCTGGTGCTTGGAGTTTTCCTTCTTATCCAGACCTGTTTTCCAGCTTGTTCAACAGGCCTGTTCTACAATTAAGATGCTAAGAAAATTTATAGTATTTAGGTGAGGAATTACAAGGACCACTGAAATTTCCAAAGGTCCTGGCAACACAGAGCCACAAAATACAGGTATATTTTCACAACACAGCATATAGGACTTCCACAGAGAAAGGAAACAAATCTTGTGGGAGATATGAACATTTTCCAAGAATTATTAACCGTACAAGAAGATACATTTCCATAAGGTAGAATACCATGTATGACAAGTAGGATTTCTGCCCTCATCCCTGAAAAAAATAGTACCACATAGAAGAACTATAAAGTAAGTATGCGGAAAGTGAGTCCATAATGAAAGATGAGAACATTTTCTAAATTTGTAGCATTTGGAAATGAACCAATAGGAACACATAGAAATTAAAAATTATAGTTAGTTGAAATGAAAAATTGAGAGTATATATTTAAAATCATATTAGATATTAATTGAACAGATTATTAGGTAACTAGGAGGAAGATATGAGTATATCATCCACAATGTGGCAAAGAGAAATAAAGAATAGAATGTATAGGGTGCAACTGAAAGATATGGAAGGCAAATCTAATAGAAATTCAGAGAAAGGGACAAAGGAAATGAGGGGGAGATAAGACAATGGCTAAAAGTTTTGAAAAATGAAGATAGAAGAAGCATAATAACTTTTGAATAGGATGATGAATACAAACTAAGCTGTACCTAGATGTAGGTTAGCCTAACTGTAGAACATCAAAGATAAAGAAATCTTTTAAGAGCAGCTGGAAGAAGAAATTACTTTAAGCAGGAATAATAATTAATCAGACAGAATACTTTTAACCAATAGCAATGTAAGTCAGAGACTATACAACAAGAGCTTCAAAAAAACAAAGGGAAAATAACTGTCAATCTAGCTAATTACCATTCCTTCCCTATTTGTTCTTACTCAAAGGTGAAAGGTATGTCAACAGATGACAGATTTGCCCAGAACTAGCTGAGATCAGCAAAGACCAGCAATACCTGGGACGATACTTAATTTAGTGAAAACTGTACTTGATTTCTAAATGTGACATAGAACAGATGACCTAGACAGAAGGCTCCAGAAACCTGGTTTAACGCTGTATTTCTGGCCAAAAGTTGGCAGTCTTAGTGGCATGGATGTGAGCACAATTCTTTGTGGAACATGTTAGGTTAGTTCTCAATATATAGCACAGTGATTAAAACTGAAGTCTATTGAGTCAGACAAACTGGGTTCAAATACTGACTGAGCTTTTTGTGAGTTGAGTGAACTTAGTCAAGTTACTTCTCTTTGTCTTAGTTCCTGCACCTGTATGTCACAGTTTAAAAAATATTAAATAAGCAAAGATATTTGGCATAGTACCTGGCACACAGTAGGAGCTTAGTAAATCCCAGTTATCATTTTTTCTTAATCTTGACTACAGTATTGTAATTTAATTATGCAATCCCAATTACTATTATTAGTTAATCTTGATGACAATGCTATAATTTGATCATGCAGTTTGAAGGAGTTATCTTTAGTATGATTAATAAAAAACTGTAACAGAAGACACATACTCTGACATCCACTGAGCAGCCCACAGTCCACGATGGATTTCCTAGCACTTGATTTTGACACAGAAGATGGACTAGTGAAGACTTTCCAACACCTGTAGAAGATTCGAGAACTCTAGTCATATATAAGATGTACTGAACTCGATGTGGTGAAAGTAAGACTGAGACTATGTAGGAATAATGACACTTAAGCATGGTTGTTAAAAGGGTGTTCACACCATATCAAGAATATAAGCCACTGAATAAAGTGACTGCTCTCAAATTTAGCATGAGAATCAGAGGATTTGTTAAAGGGTAGAATGCTAATTTCTGCCCCTAGGCTTTCTGATGTAGCAGGTCTGTCATGGGATCAAAGATTTCTGCAATTCCAAAATGGTCCCTTGTAGTACTGATGCTACTAGTTCAGGGCTTCACTTTGAGAACCACTGGTCTAGGGCAATTTCACATTAACTAATTCTTTTTTAAAAAATGATTTAATCTATTCAGTCTAGTTTAGAATTATAGAATCTTAACAGATCTTAGAGGTTATCCTCCTACTTTACGTACCCTTGTTGAGGTCACCTTCCATGCCTTGTCAGTGATAAAACTTATCATGTCATGATTCTACCACACTCCAGTTCTCCCATACAGTAATGTTTACTTTATTTTTTGGCAGTCCTGGGGTTTGAACTGAGGGCCTCAAGCTTACAAGCATTCTACCACTTGATCCATGCCCCTGCCCTTTTTGCTTTATGTTTCAGATGGAGTCTCACTTTTGCTTGGACTGGCCTCAGAAGATGATCCTCTTACCTATAGCTAAGATTACAGGTGTGTACCCCCACTTCAGGTGTTCCTACTAACCTTTTCCCTGATTTGACCTGGAACCACAATTCTGCTATCTGTTTCCTAAGCAGCCGGAATTATAGCCAGGAGTCACTACACCTGGCTCATACACAATGATTTTTAAAAAGCAGCTAAGCATTTGGTTCAGACTTACACTTTGTAAAAACAATTCTACTCTCTTTTCTACATCATGGCCCTTTACTTTGAGGCAGCTCTTTATCTCCTTTTAGCTCCTTGAGCTTAGGGCAATCATTATTAATGTTAACAGGCAGCACTTGGAGATACAGTTGAAGAGGAAAGGGAATGAACTCTTCCTCCTATATCCCATCTGTGGAGTCACTTATTCATTTCATGTCATTTTGGGATTACATTATGACAAGCACAGTTGGGGAATTTTAAGAACTATCAATTGCATCAAAAATTTAGACAATCTCTTTGTGAGCATTATTGTAAGACAAGATCGGGTGTGCTCAGGATGGTATGACCATAGACTGTGCACATTATTATGTATGAATCTATCATTTTGTTTATTTTATTAAAAAAGTTTGGTTTTGTCATTGTATGTATTACATTGCATCTCTTACTTATGGTCCTGAGTGTATACTGGAGACTTTGATTTTTGCTTTCAGGTTTATGTTGGAGGCACTCAGTTATCAGTCTGATGTAAGGCTTTGGCAGGAGTTTAGCTTCATCCTGTCAGGGTAAACAACTCTAAGCAGTGATTTAAATGCTTTGGGTGTAAGTGTTAGCCAACATTAGATGAAATGCTAAACAGTAAGAACAACTGAAGTGCTAGGGAATAGTTGCTAACCACTCATTTCTTAAAGAATTTGGGAGGTTCTGGTTATGTTTTCACCTTTAGAACTAAATTAGGTCAAAAGAATGCACTTGATTTCTTTGGGGAAAAAGATCAAATATAATCAAATAAATGTCACCTACAAATATAGCTATTGGTAGGTGTTAAGCTCACCCCATAATCTCTGAAAGAACAAAGAGAAAACAGTACATGTATGTTACTGAGACTTTTGGGTTTCCTTAAGGAAACAAAAGAAGCTTCTAAACTCAAGTCATTCCTTTAAATATTTGTGAAACTCAAAATTTCACAGGAGGAAATAAGCCTTTATTCAAAAATAAACTTTGAAGTTTGATTGTAAAGGTGAAGTATAAAAAGTGCATTCTAACCTGCAGATAGAAAATAACTGCTAAAAGGAGATTAATAAAAAGACAATAACTGACTTTGTACATATAGTCTAACAGTGAATGTGTGGCAGGATCAGTTACTTTCCTGGTGGGCACAGCTGTGTCTTCTGTTTTACAACTAAACCATAAAGGGGAGAAGAAAGCTTAGTAATTGCCTAACCACTTTTCCACATCCAATGCTACAGCCAGTTCTACCTGTTATGCAATGCACTGATTCTACAGTTACAACTCTAGCACCTTGTGTAGTGCCTGCTGAAAAATATAACAAATTTACTATTCCAATTGTACATAAGAATGAAGGGATTGTTATATGTAACAGAAAATGTTACATATAATGTAACAGAAAATAGGGCAGAGCATGGTGACACATGTGTAATCACAGCTACAAGGGAGGCTTGTGGTTTAAGGTCACCCTGGAGGGGAAAAATGGAAAAGGAAGTGTGGCTGAAGTGATAGTTTGCCTAGAAAGCTTGAGGCCCCGAGTGCAAATCCCAGCACTATCTCCCCACCCCCTATAAAAAGAAAAAGAAAATGGAATTCTAGAAGACAAAGAACATCCACACTGTGGAATGAAGAACTGTACATCATGAAGAACTGTTAGCTCTGCATTCCAGTGTTGGTACTTGGTGATCCTCTTGCCAAGTGTCTTAGAACCCCCAAATTTTCTTCATCTGTAAAATTGAGCCATTTTATTAAATCGACTTCAGCACCACTTCAAGTTATATGATGGAAGAAATGAAGTTGACATAAATTGGGATTATGTTCACAGATTTACAAGTGCAACTTTCTTAGGGAAATAAAACATTTTGTAATGTAAATAATCTTCAGGCAACGTAACAACATATAATGCTAGTTCCCAAGCTCTTTGGAGTTTGTCCTCTCTACCGCCAAACATTGAGCACAATGTCTTTGCTCTTGGCACAGACAAGGTCAAGTCAGAGACACTCAAAAGTCAAGTACAGAAAAGCACATCTAGATTGCATTTAGTCAAGTTCTGAAGGAGAGTTAGACTGCAGTTTATGATGGGAAAGACAGCGGAATGAGGTGGGTGTGTGTGTGTGTGTGGAGAGTTAGACTGCAGTTTATGATGGGAAAGAGAGCGGAATGAGGTGGGAGGGGTGTGTGTGTGTGTGTGTGTGTGTGTGTGGACTTAATCAACTGCAGTTCTAAAATGTCCAAAGTGTCAAAAGGATTATGACACTAGAATTAAACTAGGTTCAGCATTTACATCCTAGCTGCTTCAGAGTGTGGTTCATAGCTTAATTTATTGCTTACATTCTAGCACATACTAGACTTTCAACTGATTAAATGAAAACAAGGAAGTCAAGAAGCCCAGGTAAGAGTAAAGCAGTATTTCATAAGAGTGAAACAATATGCCATTATTTCACCGTATAACTCAGTACTTTGGTGCGTGGACTCTGGGTTTAAAGCGGTTCTGCTATTTACGTCTCTCCACCTCACTTTTCTCATCCGTAGAACGGACTGATCTCAGATTTACCGTAGAACGGACTGATCTCAGATTTAAATGAGTTACTGTATGCTAATAGCTTGTCAGTGTCATTCTTCTCAGTGCACATTTGACTAAATGAACAAAATCTCCTGAAGGCACGGTACTATTAACTTCTGTGTGCTTACTAAGGCGCCCAATACAATACTCAAAGTCTGTATATATATATATTTTTTTAAATAAAGGAGTTCATCATACACTCCAGGCCCGGGTAGTCCTGAAGACTGACGTGGAAGGACTCGAAGGCGGAGAAGGCCCGGGCTCCGTGCCCCCCACCCGCGCTACACCGCCACTCCGGCAAATGGAGCAAACTCCTCTGGGAAGTGTAGTCTTAAGGCTTTAAAGAGAAACTTCAGCCATGAACCAAAGAACCAGGAAGTCGGGGGTAAAACAGTGAGAAGAGTGGAGTTATTGGATAACTCAAAAGTGTCAGGATCCCCAGAGGTGGGTTAAGCTGCTCACCTGAGTCTCCCAACACCAGTACCTTCACCCGATCCAGGGACGCCATCTTGTCACCGTCTCCGGAGTTAACGCCTCTTCCGGGATTTTAGGCCAATCAGCGGGCCACAGAGGGCCGAGCCTTTAGTGCCATTGGCCGGTCGGAGTGTGACTGTTTTGATTGAAGGCTTCACTATGCTGATTGGCTGTTCTTGTTAAAGGCAGCGGGTCGTTTCCAAACTAGTCGCAGGGATAAGGCGTTTTCTTTGTCGCACAAGTGGCGTGGGCCGGTCTAAGCCGGTAGTTGAGGTGCCGAGGGAAGCTGTAGTGGGAGTGTTCGAGGATTCGCTTCGGTAAACTTATTCCCTGTTCCTTGTTTCCAGTTCCCTGGCCCGGCGTCGTATTTCATGGTTTCCCCTATTTAATCCGTGCCTTAACTGTCCTCTCTGGCCACCTTGTTGCCTTGGTCCTCATCTGGGTCTCCCAAAGAGCCATTGACCCCGAAGCGGTCCTTGTACGACCTCGGGCTTGGCTGCGCCTACTGTGGCCCAAGCCCACCGAGGAGCGTCTGAGGGAGTGTATGGGGTCCAGAGTGGGGAGGACGGAACACTACTGAACGCCCCTGAAGGAGGGCAGCAGGCTCCAGGTTCCGCGTCAGCAGTGTGCGGCTTTGTGTAGAAAGGCGTGGAAAGTGCCATGCCATGCTGTAACCGAGAAGACTGCAGTTAGATTTGTAACATTCCAGCTTCTAGAACTGGAATAGTAGTATACAGAGATAGTCCAACTGGGCGTCCTGCATCCGCTCCCTTTCCCTTTTATTCTCCGCCTTGCGGTCAGTATAGTCTTTTTAAAAATCACAAATTTGATCCGGTCACCTACTGCTTCAAAGCATTGTAAGTTGAGGACGAAGGTGGCTTATAGCTGTCTTCTTCTGTTGTGAAAGCAGGCGTGGAGCAAGTGAATTGTGGGGAAACTGGCAGGATGGCTATGTTGGAAGAACACGTTTTCAACACGTGTGTTGAAAGTTTTGTGTGTACTTGATTGGCTGTGCTAGATATCGGAAGTTCATTGATAAGCGAGACAAAGTCCCTGGTCATAGAGATATACGTGGAGAAAGTATAGGAATGGGAAAAATCTAAGGTGACATGTGAAAAGAGATTCTTCTGTGCTACTATGACGAATCTGGGAAGGCCTCCATGAGGAAATGTCACTTGAGACTTGAAGGATTAAGAGAAAGGAGTTTGGACCTTGCTTTGGGGACAGAGGGAACATGTATGGTGCTCATACAGCTGAGAGTATGCCAGTGTGACTGGATACCTGTAAATGCAGCAGAGTGAATTCTCTTCCACTTTGTTTCTCCAACTTCATGCCCAGCAGTCCATAAATGTTTGTGTGACTGGAATACTTGCAGGTCTGGACTGTGTAGAGAGGTAGGTGAGACTGGGACATGACTTATGATGATTAAAAAGGATCCAAGGGCCCTTAGAGAGAACACACACTCCTGTCTCCAGAGATCAGCTAAACTGTTTTTCTAAAAGTGTCAACTGTTACTCAGCTCGGCTTATTATTTCCTTGTGGGAACATTGGCTCACTTGTTTGCTCAAATATTTCCATTTGCCAAGAGAAGCTGGAAGTTGAAATTTATGTGAACTGTCATGATTTTTGAATGTTGACAATCAATTCAGAAAATGTTCAAAACACTCTGAGTGAAACAATGTGTATGGACTGCGGTTTTAGACCTCTGACCTAAGTAGCTTAAGAAATCCAGAGATATTGAGTAAGGTGGTTTAGCATGAGTGGGGAAGTGGTGGAGGAGAGAAGGCAGTGGTCAGGAAGGCTGGTTTCAAATGGAATGTTTTTTTTTTTTGTTTTTTTTTTTTGGCAGCACTGGGGTTTGAACTTAGGGCCTCGCAATTGATAGGTAGGCATTACTGCTTGAGCCACTCCGCCAATCGTGTTCTCTGTTTTTGAAAAAAAAAATTTTTTTTGTTTGAGATAATTATACAGGGTGTTTCATTGTGACATATCTGTGTGTGTGTGTGTGTGTGTGTGTGTTATAACTGGAATTGGTTCATCCCCCTCTATTTTTCTCTTTTCTACTTTATTCCCCTTCTTATGGTGATTTCAATAGGTTTAAAAATTCTACACTCATTCTTGTGTAAGTACATCAGCCCTATTCACCTTCTTAACTTCCTTTTTACTTTGAACTCAGGGCCTCATGCTTGCTAGGCAGGCGCTCTACCACCTGAGCCACTCTGCCAATCCCTTAACTTCCTTCTTTTACCCTCCCTCTCTCATATGTAACTTCGCCTTTGTGTGGCTTGTCTTTCAAAATATTGCTTGTATTTGTATTAGGTCTGTATTCAACATATGAAAGAAAACATATGGCCTTTGGCTTTCTGAACCTGGCTAGCTTCACTAAAGATAATGTTCTCCAGTTCCATCCATTTCCCTGCAAACAATAAAATTTCATTCTTCTTTATGGCTGAATAAAATTCCGTTGTACATAAATACCACATTTTCTTAATCCATTCATCAGTAGTGGGGCATCTTTGTTTCCATAGCTTAGCTATTGTGAATAATACTAGAGTAAATATGAGTGTGCAGGTGCCTTTATTGTAAACTGACTTAATGTTTCTACAGGTATATCCCTAGGAGTGGAATTGCTGGATCATATGGCGGTTCTATTTTTGGGGTTTGTGTGTGTGTGTGTGTGTGTGGTACTGAGGCTTGAACTCAGGGACTTCACCTTGAGCCTCTTCACCAGCCCTATTTTTTGTAAAGGGGGTTTCAAGATAGGGTCTCGAAAGCCAAGATCCTCCTGATCTCTGCCTCCTGAGTAGCTAGGATTACAAGTGTGAGCCACCAGGAGCCGGTATTTTTTTGAGATGCCTCCACACTGTTTTCCATAGTGATTATACTAATTTACGTTCCCACCAACAGTGTATGAGGATTCCCTTTTCCCCCATATCCTCACCAACATTTGTTTTTGTTTGTATTGTTGATGATATCCATTCTAACAGGAGAGCAGTGGAATCTTAACATGGTTTTGATTTTCATTTCCTTTATGGCCAGGGATGTGAGCATTTCTGCTTTTTTTTTTTTTTTCCTTTTGGAGGAGGCAGAACATTTTATGTTAATTATCTCATTTCATTCATACATAACTGTATGAGGAAGGCACTATTAAGTCACTTTTTATATATGAAGAAATGGAAGCTGAGAATTTTCTTGGACTACAGTCTAAGAAACACAATTGGAATTCAAACCCCAAAATGTTGGATTGCAGAGTCCTCATGTTACTCCCCTGCTCTAATCTTGAGGGCTCCCTAAGGTGTTTCATGCAAAGGAACAAGTGACACAGAGCGTTTTCTGTGCAGGATGTGCATTGGCAGGATGTATAATAGCTGGGACACAGGTTGTCTGAAACAGTGGTCAAGGGACTTTTGTTACATATTACAGTCATGCCTAATCTAGCTCTCCTATACCAGCTGAAGCCAAATTTCTGTGAATGGGGCCAAGGGTTGGTATTCTTAAGATGCTGCCCAGGTGATTATGCTTTACAGCCAGGGTTGAGAACCACTGGTCTGGAGCATTGGATGTAATGGGGTAGGAAATACAATAGTAGGAGATAATACTGGAAAAATAGATTATATTGACTTGTACCTGCCCTTCTTTGGTCTTTTGGATGTTTCTGAAGCCATATGTTGTATTCTGCCAACTGTTGAACCTGTAAAACAACAACAAACCTCCACCATAACAAAACTCTTGAAATTGGGTTATATTCAGTATATATACCAAATTGGAAGGGAGAGCAAAATGTGTGCAGTACCATGCTGTGATTCTACTTTGGTGATGAACCCAGGCATCCTTAAGCTTTGGGGTGACAGAAAGGCAATAGTACACAGGTTTGAATCTAGATAAATCAAGGTGCGACTTGGTATCTCATATATAGTTATGCCTGGGTATTTACAGTCTATATGTTTTATTGTAACTGACTTTCCTTTTAATTTTTTATTACAGGTAAGGCTTTATAATCCCTCCTCTCATATGTGTCTAGGTTGGTTATTTAGGGATTTCTTTATATTTATAATACTGTGTATAAAAGCACTTCTTATAAAAAGGGGTACTAAAAAGGGGTTAATGCCTGATTTCAAATAAAAGGTTCAATTGAAACTAATATTAATAACTGAGTATGACTCATTGAAATAGTTCAATGGAATGTCTCAAAAATTTCCTATTTTATTGGGAAGTTTTACTGACTTTAGTTTGTATTGTCAGCCTGGCCATTTTTAATTTGGAACATATTAAATTGATAAAGAAGCTGTCCTTGTTATTAAGGATGTCCTAATCACTTTTCTCATTAACAACTCTTCCCCCATTGTCCTTAGAGAGTAAAGTGTGGTTTGAACTTGTTTATAGGATTTGATCAGACACACACAGTTATCAAAACACAGGCTGTGTTAGACTCTGAATTCCAAAGCCCCAGATTTTTTTTGAACAGTCACATGTAAGTCTAACAGCCACATGCCAGCTTAGGCTTTGAGAGGACTGCTTTCTTGGTCTTGGCATGTAAATTAAATACACTTAGCTTTTGCTTTGTCCTACAAGGAATCCAGTATTTCAGGATATCTTGGGCTATTTTTCTTTTCTGCCTTCCTCCCTTCTTTTCTCTTTAAAGACTGAATGGTGTTTACTTAATTATCAGCTTTAACTTTTTAAGGTTGGTAAGGCAGTCTGGATCTAAGTGTTAATTTATTTTAGATTTACAACAATAGTTAATAATTTTTGCCAAATACCCCAAGTGATGATTACATGTGTTTGTTCATTTGTTGTGATTTTGTTGTGAATGCCTGACTATTTAAAATATCCTAAAATCTTGGTAGAAAATTTTTACTTAAGAAAAGAAATAAAGACACTTTAAGAATATGCTAACTGCTAGTTTTCTCAGGAAGTTTCTAGCTTCCCCAGAGATCTGTATCATTAAGAATAACGAGCACCTCTTGTACCATTTTTGTGTTTCTCTTTCTGAAATAATGTGGTCTTGATGAACATATCATTGTTATAAATAATAAGTTGCTTTTTGAAATCAAGCACACCTTTGATTGTGAAAGTAGTCATTTAAGAAATAAGTGAAGCTATTTAGGTATAATCTTTTATGCACTCTAGAGGAAAATCTATTCTTCTCTGTTGGGTATTAGAAGTCTTTTAAAACAATATTTGAGTACCTTTGTGATACTCCAAGAATAGTGGTAGCTACTAGCTACCAGTAACAGGTTGATTGTTCTAGATTTAAAATTATTGCATGTCCTCATGTGTACTAATCTTGTGGGTTTGTATGTTTGTTTTCTAAATTCAGTATATTTAAGGTTGAAGTTTGCTGCTAAAGATGGCAGACCCAGATGTCCTCACTGAGGTTCCGGCAGCCTTGAAGAGGTTAGCCAAGTATGTGATCCGGGGGTTTTATGGCATTGAGCATGTGTTGGCCTTGGACATCTTGATCCGGAACCCTTGTGTGAAAGAGGAGGATATGCTGGAGCTGCTCAAGTTTGACCGGAAGCAACTTCGATCAGTTTTGAATAATTTAAAGGGAGACAAGTTCATCAAATGCAGAATGAGGGTAGAGACTGCTGCAGATGGGAAAACCACTCGCCATAACTACTATTTTATCAATTATCGTACTCTTGTTAATGTGGTAAAATACAAATTGGACCACATGAGAAGAAGGATTGAAATGGATGAGAGAGATTCAACCAATCGGGCTTCCTTCAAATGTCCTGTCTGTAGTAGTACTTTCACAGACTTAGAAGCTAATCAGCTCTTTGATCCTATGACAGGTGAGACTTACCCAGTTTTCTAATCAATTGATTCATCTCAATTTTAAGCCTACCATATACCTTATTTTAAAAGTGAATGGATAAGTGTGAGTCAACATAACAGTCAGTCTTTTACTGTCTTTGTTGGTTGTCAAACTACTTTGAGAAGCTTTTGCATAGCCTTTCTCCTTTACAAGGGAGTATACTCATCCATGGGGTTTCTCACCCTGGCTCTCTTGCTTCTGCCCTTGTTTACTGCTATGGCCTAATCTGAACAATTGACATCTCTACCCCTTTGAGTCCATTCTGGGAAGCAGATATGGGAGGATCACTGTATGAGGTTAGCCTGGACAAAAATGTTAGTTAGCAATGTTTTTGTTTTTTTTTTAATCAAAAAGACGAACAGTAACATAACATAAGTCAGGCATATAATTGGGATTAGTCTGGATTTGGGGAAGGCCTGCAGAAGAAGTTAAGTAACAGCTGAGATCTAAAAGATAAGTAAGAGTTGGCTGGATAAAATAAGAGGGGGAGTCCTTTCCAAGTTGACAAGTGGATAGATATTTAGTGTCTCTTAGCATTCATTAGTATAAGAGAATTGTCAACAACATGTATAATTTGTCTCATTTAGCCAAATACTTTAGTTTTAAGGATTTTCATTAACATAATTTACCAAACAAGTATTTTCTAAAAATACAATATGTCTGGCCTTAACACAAGAAATTTTAAAATGCTGGGTTGTATGGCTATTTTGTCTTGTTACTTTTAAACTGGAAGAGACGAGTTTTATTAATTGTTCCGTGGATCATTTTTGTCTTATTTTCTAGAGGTAAAAAATCTATGGAAGGACTTGATACTCTTGAATTACAATAATCTTTTGTTATGAAGGAATTTAAGATACAGGTTATTTTTTAGAAAAATTTAACACATGAACTATTTTGTTTAAAAATTACATATTTGTGTACATGCTTCATTTTCTAATTTTGGGGTATGTTGTGTATGGTACGTTTTAAATAATTTAAAATTTTTAAAATGAGAAATAGCCCCAGTGTCAATTTAGATTATTATGAAAAAAAAGCTAGAGAGAGCCTGTGCTCCTTATTTACTGTAAAACAGCTATTTTGCATGTAAAGAGTTCTCTCTTTGTTATTAAATATTTGTCTGAACCTAACTATTTAATAGAGCTTAATTAGGTAAGATCTTGGCTGTAAGAAAATCTTAACCATAAGATTTGCTTGAGTGTAAGAATTGCTTGAGTGTATTAGAGGAAGATGATAAAATATATCCGGAAAGGTCGTATTAATTTTGGCATTTACTCTAGTAGATTGTTTTAAAGGAGCTCTAGGTTTTGGTTTTGTTGAATATGTTGACACTACAGTGGTCCTGTTTTCATCACTCTTGACCTCAGTGGAAGGTGGTGTTCTCAGAAAGGATAATCAGAAGTAATATGCTTCTATATTTATTCATCATTTGAGTCTTATTTAATTTTATGAATCTTTCTAAAAGGTAATTCCACTACTTGTATATCAGTATGTAGGAGATTAATCTATGCTGCTCTTTGAATTTCACCTAGGATTAGTGTCTGCATGAAATTAGTTATAATCAACAGATCGCCTGTGGAAAAGCTGACCTAACACCCAAATACAGCGAGAGTTATTTGAACCAGTGAGTTGAGATAGGATAACAGGCATGAAACATTTTATGAAAGAAAGCTAAAGGTCTGTTATGGCCAGTCTGAACAATATGAGGTAGTCATTAATGAGGGTGGAAAGCATTGGTGCTGGAGAGCAAGAAAAAGTCACTTAACCTTGATGTTACTTAGAGGAGGGTAACCCAAAGTATAATAATACTCAATTGACTGTTCTTTCCACACAGAGAAGCATGAGTTATCATAATTGAAAATTTATAATTAAGGATCCTGGCTCTGAGAATGTATTTGATTATAATTTGGCTTTCATTGAACATTTCTTTAAAAACAAAATGTGCTGAGTTGATATTGTCTACTTGTCAATTCTGGTGTTTTTGGTTTTTTTTGACTACTAATACCTTGCTAAACCTACCTTTACCTGTACATTTTCTTCAGAAATCTTTATCTTTTTCTCTTTGCTTCCTTCCTGTTTTGTTCAGTTTTTATCAACTCTTCCCCCATTATGAAGAAGATAGGAGTGAACTTTTTCTGGTAATACTTAGGCGCTGTCTCAATTGGTAGATTGAGGTTTCATTCTAACCTCAGTTCTGTTCAAACCCATCCTATTTTCTGGCTGATATTGGAGATTGATATTTCTGGCCAAATAGGGATAACTGATAAGATTGTGTCTCCATTTCTTTCTCAACAGTTCTTAGATTGAGCTGTGGTTTATCTTAGCTATCAGGGAACATTCAGAAATTAAATTTGAAGCCTTCTGTTTCTCTGATAAAAAGTTGATACACCAAGTGTATAGGTAGCTCTAGGTAAGTTCCTGAGGAGCACCTGGAAATTACAGATTCAAACTTGAGCCCAGCGAGGATTGTTTTACCAGCATTAATTCATGTGTAGGCCAGTGATCTTCCTACTTCAGTTTACAGCTTTTTCCTACCCATCTCTGCTTTTCATAAAAGATTTTAGACTTTCTCCATATTTTCCATCTGATTTTGTCTTTGGTGGCATTGGGTTTAACTCTAAATATTTGACACATGGCATTTCTAGATCCTTTCTTTATTTCCTTAAAATGGAAACCTAGCCTTTGCCTTCCAGTCCTGGTTTTAAAAGCCTAGTTAGGCAAAACTAGTTATTTTAGTTTTAAATATGGGGGATTTATATAATCAAAATAAAGACAACATGACATGAAATTCCTCAAATAAGCACAATAGCACCTTGTGGTTCATAAGTGCATGTTTTAGATTTAGCAAGCTTTCTGACTATGTAACTGTACTTATAATTTCTATTTTAGCAGTCTTAGCCACTGGTGATTTAATTAATGGCAACTGTAAGTTAAGTTCAGCAACATGTGTTTTTCTCTTTTTAGACATTAAAGTTAGATAATGTAGAAATAGCGTTACGTTTTCTACTTTTAATTTTAAAATTATGCAACCATAAATATGTCAGAAATTTTTGAAGAAAAAATTCACCCATAAAACCATGAGAATTTTACATGTTACCTCTAGTTGTAATCATAGTCTAGAATAATTTGTGATTTCTTGGTTCTTTAACGTGCCAAACTCTTCTGTTACTTTGTGGTATCTGTTTTTTGCTGTGTTGTAGATAAGATGCTTGAATATCTTTGTATATTGCATTTTATTCTTGCTTAAGGTTTTCCTTAAGATTTCTCAGTAGTAGGAATATTGTCAATGAGTGTTTACAGTATCTATAAGTGCATATATGGCACTGTGGTTTTATTATGAGTGCAATAAAATTGTTAGGTCTTTGAATTAAAAATAGTTTGGAAGCCCCTGTTACTCAATTTAACTAGAGACCACATAATCCCATTATAAATAAACTTTGAGAAAAGAGATAATTTGAATTTTTTAAAAAAGGAATTACATAAATATGTATTTAATAAAATCTTAAAGCTATTAATTTATAGATTATCTAGTTTGACTCACCAAATAATTTATGTGTGGGTGTCACATTCACTTACCTATGTTGTACTCTTGAATGTGGAGGCTCTTACAATGTAATATAATCACATAAATCTAGGGGTATATAGATTACTAGGATGTTTTAGAGTGAAGATTAGGGAAGAATGTGATAGCCTTCATGAAGATTCACCCTGTGTTACTTCCTGGAAAAGAGACAAAGATTTTAGGATTAGCATAACGAAGTCTGTAATAAATAACTCTAAAAATAACCAACAGTAGGAATAGACCTCCACCTGGGATAAGTTTTAAGTTATGTAGAACATCCACATAAACTTGATATCTAAATTATTAGGGTCCCACATTGTGAGACTCTCAAATATTTGTTAATGATGTTTACCTTAGTAGGCCAGACTACTTGTTCCTGCCTTCATCTCTTAATACTTAGGGCAGGAGATGCCTTATAAACAGTATTTTCAGTTCCTAAAATGCTGAGAGCACAGACAAATACAGAAATATAGGATTATTTGCTCAATTGCCAAATCTTTTGTTGTCTTTGGAATCTAGAATGAATCAATTACAAGATTATACCCAAAAGCTCAAAGATATGGATTTGGGTAGATGGGAGGGAGGGTGGAAGGGGTGATTATTAGACTAAGTTAAAAGAATCTACAAAAAAAAGTTGTGGAAAGTAAGGAACAAATGTACTTTTTTCCTGGCTCTGGAACCTTCAGGGCTGCAGCTTTTGTTCTTAAGAATTTGAGGGCTTTGTTTTTTGTTTTTTTTTTTTTTTGGCAGTGCTTGGGTTTGAACTCATGGCTTCATGCTTGCTCACTCTTGCTAGGCAGGATCTCTACCACTTGAGCCACTTTTTTTGTGTTGTCTATTTTCAGGATAGGGCCTATTTGCCTGGAGCTGACTTTGAACCACCACCTTGATCCTCCTGATCTCTGCCTTTTGAATAGCTAGGATTATAGGTGTGAGCCACCAGTGCCCAGCTGTTTCTTAAAAACTGTTGTGGCTTTGTTATTTTTGGATATGGAAAAAAAGCTAGCTTATTTGTGAAGAATTGCTTTTTAGTTTTGATTCTGGCATACCAAAATTGTCTTTCAAATATTCATGTCAAAGCCACAGACTTTTTGCCTGCCTACTACCTGTTGAGATGAATTTGATTTAAGCCTAATTTGGAAAACTTATTGCAAGCTCTTAGTATTCATCCAAGTACCAAATTTTGATTTGTCATTCTTTGCCCTGCCCCCAGTTCCTTCCTTTTTAATGAGTTCTAGAATTTAGCAATAATGCATGATGGTTAGACCAAATGTAATCTAAGAAAATGTCCATTTGAGGGAGAACAGAGCCAGTTTCATTGATAAATTAAATTTGGGGGTTGGGGTTTTATTGTATACTTTATTAATATACACTTGAGTTCTTTTGTTTTCCAAAACTATTAAACATACTCTATTTTTGTCTTTATATGCATATGAGTATTTTTGCATGTTATGTGTTCTACAGCGAATTATTAAGGGATGGTTTTTCAAATTCTTTATTATAGGTAAAATAATTTTATTTTATGTTCAACTATTGCTGTCATGTGTTTACAATTACACAATACTAATTCTTTTTTCCATATATCTTTCCCTTGTCCATTAAACTAAAGACATTTGCTTTGTGAAAATGAAGTTTAAAAATTAGAATAAAAGGTGACTGACTTTTTGAGACTTCAACATTTGACTTACTAACATTTTAATAAATATCCCCTTAGACATTCTGAGTTACAAAATTTGTAAGAATAACTTTGTTAAGCTTTTATACAGTAGGTAGTAGTCAGTGACCCTTTTAAAACTGAGCACATCAAGTCATGTCACTTCATGTCCCTTCAAAACTTCAAAAGTTTCTCCTACCATTCAGAAAACAAGCCCTTAACAGAATTTATAAGGTCTTTTATTGATTCTCTCACCTCACCTTCAAACCTGGGAGACTTTTATTTCTACCACTCACTCCCATGTTTGCAGCAGTTAACTTTATTTGTGCCTTGTGAGCGTCAAGCATGCCCTTACTTTGCTTACTTCTTTGCATGCTTTTCCCTTTTGCCCAAATATCATAGCTTGCTCTCTTTTTTTTTTCACTCTCTGAAGTTTCCATTCATATCTGTATCAGAGAGGTCTCCTGTGAATTTCCTGAACAATGGAACAATATCCTTTTTTTTTTCACCTTCTTTATCTTCTTTCCCTGTTTTTTTTCCATAATTCTTCCCCAACACCTGATTGTTGTTTTTGGTCTTGACTGTTCTCTACCAGAATGTGAGGTCCAGGAAGGCAGCTCAGCAGAAGATTGTCAAGTTAGGGTAGCAGAACATCAGAATCCCTTGGGATATCAAGCCTGTTGTTTCAGGGTGAGGACTGTGCAGCAGCAGGCATTTGGTCCTCCCTATTTCCTTGGCCAGCCTTGAGAACATGGGTTGCAACATGGCTCCCACTTCAGTACTGCAGCACCATGCTGTATCAGAGCAGTTGAGCTTATTTTGATTTTTGTGTTGGGGTTGGGAGGGAGGGTTGAGGAGGAATGGCTGAATAATATTCCAGTTGAACTAATACCTTGACAAATCTTGTGACAATGGATTGTGGACATTAGCTGATAGTCTATTCATTGTCTATACTGGAATGAAGAGGGAAAAATACAATCTTAAAAAATTAATTGTTTGGAGATTTGACTCATAATGTATTTTACCCATAGTCTCATTTTATATCTGTCCTTGTTCTCAATTACAAATTTCCAAAGCACTTTCTTGTCAAACTGAAGAGGATAAACAGTTTTTTCACTTTGGCTTTATTTGTATTTATTATTATAATATAATATGTACGTATTGTTTTCCTGACTGAATACTCACATAATTAAAATAACATTTGTTGGGTGGGCTGGAGGCATGCTCAAGTCATGGAACATGTGCCTAGCAAGCATGAAGCCCTGAGTTCCAACCCCAGTATCACCAGAATAAAGAATAAACAAACATTTGTTAATATGAATAACATGTGTGTTAACTTGAAGGCCTTGCCCAGCAGAATAAGCTAAATATATTTAGCCTTTTCTTCTGTGCTTTCTGAATTTTTTTCTTTTGTTCTGAGTTTATATCTCCACTCCCAATTCATTTTTGTTTTCTCATTTTTGAGAAAAAGTTGAAATTAAAACGATATAGAGCTCTTCCCCTTTTCCCTTCCTCTTCCTCCCCACAATTAGGTGTGTAATTTCTTCTCCTTTGGAGTGGTAACTTATTGTCACTAGAAGAGTCCTAAGTCAAGTAAATTCAAGGCATGTAATAAACGATGTTTGTTAATAAATTCTTTGGTACAACTCTTTTCCCTTTCTGTTCCTTCTTTAAAAAGAGAAAGAAAACTTGCAGCATATGCTTGGGGAAAGTTTGCTGTGTTGTAGGTGGAAAGGAAAATAGGTTGAGAAAGGGTAGTGTTACTCAGGGTGGTACAGTGAATTTAGTCTTTTGAGTCAGACAAACTTGTATTTGAATCCAGGTTTAGGGGTTTTTGTTTTCATGCTGTGTTCTGATAAATTTAATATCCTTAAGTCTTCATTACCTTGTATATCAGATTTAGATAGTACTGTAGTGCAGAGTTGCCTCTGATGATTACATGGGAATATTTGTAAAGTAGCTTTCTTCTTCGATAGTTTGTGAGTATAAACAAATACAATGTCCTTGAACTCGTTTTTTCCTCCTAATCCCATGATTTGTCAAGCTTTATGTACAGAATCTTTGTACCTTTATTTTTTCTCTGCTTCCACATTTCTAGATCTAGCTTGCATGTTCTCTCTTTTGTGGCTTAGATTCACTCTTTCTGGTTTTTGCTTTGATCCTTTTATTTTGTTTTTTCCTTTTCTTTTTTCTTTTTTTGGCAGTACTCAGGGCCTTTTGCTTGCCGGTCAGGTGCTCTCCCACTTGAACCATGATGCCAGCCCTTTTTGCTTTAGGTATTTTTTCAAACAGGTTCTCACATTTATGCCTGGCCTGCCCTGGACCACCACCCTCATTTATGCTTCCCCTGTAACTGGGATGACAGGTACATACTACAACACTCAGCCTTTTATTGGTTAAGATGGCAGTCTCATAAACATTTTTTGCTTAAGCTAACTTCAAACTATGATTTTCCCAGTCTCTGACTCCTGAGTAGCTAGGATTACAGGTGTGAGTTACCACACCTGGGGTTATCTTTGTCTTGTATGTGGCAAAGATGGCATAAGGCACTGAGTTTTAATTCTGATTTCTTCTCTGGTCCTTGAGTAGTAAATTCTGTGACTACAACTCACAGAGTGATTTAGTTAGAGGAAGAGTTGGGATACTTATCATTGATTACATAAGTAGCAATTCTGCACAAGTGTATGCATCAAAATTCCTTGTGGAACTTTAAAATTCACATTCTTGGGCCCTACTCCCAGATCTGTTAAATCACTATTTGTAGGGTAGAGCCTGAGTATAAGTGCCACTAAAACAGATCAGCATTTGTACTTATTAGTTTTGATGACCTCATGTTCTTTCCCAAAATCCTTCAGTGGCTTTCATACTATTAAAGAATAGAGTCAAAATGAAGCTTAGCATTCAAGACCCACTCTGATCACTCTAGTTTATCTTGTAAATTCCTGGTTTTATCATTCTTTTTGATAACTATATTCCTACCAAAGTGAATTACAGGTTAGCACCATTTTTCTTTCTTTTTTATTCCTGTTTTGATTGAACTCAGCACCTTGTACTTCTTAGTTGGGCACTGTACTAGTGATTTTTCAGATGTTGTCTTGTGTTTATGCCTGGGCCAGGCTGGACCACTATCCTCCTATTTACACTTCCTGCATAGCTGAGATTACAGATGTGTACTACCACACCCAGCTTTTTATTGGTTGAGATGGGGTTTCTCAAACTTTTTTTGCCCAGGCTGGCCTTGAACCACAATCCTTCTAGACTCTGCCTCCCAGGTAGCTAGGATTACATCTGTGAGTCACTGCAACTGCCTTTTAGCACACAATTTTTCAATCACCTACTTCTCTTATGATGATCTAGAATGTCCAGTTCCCTTTACCCCTTTTCTTGATCTCTATAACAGTCTTTTATCTTCTGAATTCTACCTCAGATAGATACCTTATTCATAAGCTTTCCATTGTGCCCTCAGTTAAAAGTCATACATCTTTGAACTCTAAAATATTTATATATTTTTGCACCGTTCCCTGATCATGTTTGTTTCTGGATACCTTGCTTCTCTACTAAACTTTAAACTTCTTGATAACAGGCTTTTTGTTGCGTGTTTCCCACCATCACTCTGCTCAGGACGTAGTATGTGCTCAGTTTCCCTGGTCCTCCCTCTCTGTAAGCCCACCGCCCCTTCTGATTTGGGAACAACCAATTTAAATTTTATAATGCTTAGTGAAATTCAAAAAAGGGATAGTTATTTGTTAAAGTAGTTTGAAGTCAGTTTTCATAAAGTGATAAGGTATAAAGAATTTGGCTATAGGTTTAAATATCTTAGAAACATGATTAAAACTGTTATTAGGAGTGAAAATACTTTGAAATACATAAAAATAATGGACACAAGGAAAGATAGATGAATATATGATAATTACCGCAAAAATCTTAATTGTAGAATCTAGATGGTAGGCACATGGATGCTCACTGTAAAATTCTTTTTTGTATATTTGAAAGTTTTAATAAAACATTGGGGGAGGGATAGAGATATAAACTGTTTGCTAACAGCTTGCTGGAAGATTTCACCTCCCTGACCTGAGGCTTTTGTTTTCTCTGTAGGAACTTTCCACTGTACTTTTTGCCGTACAGAGGTAGAAGAGGATGAATCAGCAATGCCCAAAAAAGATGCACGCACACTTTTGGCAAGGTTTAATGAACAAATTGAGCCCATTTATGCATTGCTTCGAGAAACGGAGGATGTGAATTTGGCCTATGAAATACTTGAGCCAGAACCCACAGAAATTCCAGCCCTGAAACAGAGGTGAGTGGAGGCCCTGTGCCCTTACCCAGAGTCCTTTTAAACTTGAAGTTGTCTTAACTTTGGAGGGCAAGGGTGGATAAGTAACCTACCAGGAGCTTAAAACTTTAATGTCACATAGGTTCTAAGCCATGCTACACTTACCAACTAGTGCCTGTGATGGAATTTATTTGTACTGAATGAAGAACAGTATGTGCTGTTTGCATAAAACTTTAGTCAGCTTTAACTTTAGCTACTCACTTTGGGCCTGCAGCTACTCAGCCAGTTGTTAGCTAAACCTAAAGTGGTTGTGCTTCTTGGGGATATTTGCATTTTCAAAAGCCCAAATCCTTCAGAATAGAGCAATTTTTTTTTGAAACATTTAACTTCACATTATTGGCTTCCTTAGTTTTAAATGCAATTTTCAGTGTTACCTATAGATTAATACTACTAACAGTGGCTCCCTGATTTTGTCAGTGTGCTCCATTGTTTTAATTCCAGAGGCAACTTTAGTTCTACCATGCCATAATAAGTGGTTATATTCTTTTAAAAAAGCTTATATGCACCTTTTCTCTCTCCTCCTTTCAAGATGAATTTATACCCATCTACTTCCTTCTGTAGAGCACAACAGTCCCAGTTGTACTTGTATAATTTTTAATAGACTCTCTTAGTATTTTATTTCCTCTGGTACTTATGTTACAGAATAGTGAGTTCTGAGAAAGTTGAATTTCTTTCAAATGGTTAAAAACAATCCAATTTTACAGAAACATTTGCATCTATATTACTTATTGTGAATTTTCTAATCTAACACTGTATAACAGGATGCTTTTGTCTATGATAACAGAAAATCCAACTAGGAGTAGATTGAACAGTAAAAAAAATTTTGTCTTCTTCCATGACAAAAAACCCTGAGGAATTACAGTTCAGAATTTATTAATTTCATAACTAAATTATATCCTAAAGGAACTAGATTTGTTCTATTTTTATACTCTGTTGAACTCAGCCTGTTCGTTGTCCTCTTAGAACTGTGATGGGAACTAACCTAAGGTGTTCATGTGTTTCTAGAGTATTATCTGCAGATGAAACTATTAAAATGTAGAAAAAGGGACTGTCCTTTCCTGTGTCTTATTTTAAGACTGAAGAAAGCTTTCCCAGAGTGCCCATTTATCCTGTCTATTCCCCAGTGTCTCACTGGCTAGAATAACTTTTTATTTATTTAGGGTGGTACTGGGGTTTAAACTCAGGCCTCCCACTTAGTAGGCAGGCACTCTACCACTATTTTGTAACTTTTAAGCCAACATCTGGCAAAAGAAGTGAGATCACATGATTGGTGCTGAAACCAGTTAAACTTTGACCATAAGGCTGGGGAAGATCCAAGACTTCTTTGGACCAACTGTCTTCTTGTATGTGAATAAAATCAGTAAAACAAGACAGAAAAGAGCCACAGTTGGTAGGAAACTATTATCATCTACCTCATAGATAGCCTTAAGTTTTTATTACTGTTACATGGTCACTTATCAAGAATTAATTTTTGATACTTTTTTCCTCTATCTACTTAACTTATACTGTAGTTCTAACCTAGAAGCCTGTGAGGAAAATTAATTTTACAAAAACATGATTTTCTACACCTGTGTATTATTTTATGTTGAAGTGTGCTTCAGTACTTTTTGACTTAACCTTGTTTCTTCTACCTTTAGTTATCTGTCCTGTTTATCAGGAAGCTTTCCATTACAGTAGCATTCAGTCACCACCAGCACCACTGGCATCCTGCCTCTAGTGTTGCCCACCTACCACAGTCCACTTGCCATTCCAGGAGCTTGTTAGATAACCCTTACTCCATGACTGGTACAAGTCTTAGTGGTGCAGCAATCAAGCCCAACAGCAGTATGCTGTATCAAGTCACCTTCTCATCAGGAATAATAGTGAGTCTTGGAGTGAAGAAGAATCAGGATTTCCTGATTAAGAAAGAGGAAACCCAACATCCTGGTCACTAAGAAGGGGGAGGGGAGAGATAGGCAAGAAAGGCAGAATGGGATTCCTAGAGCTGCCAGTTATAACAAAGTACAGTGGTTTCATGTGGTCAGGGAAGAAACTATTGGAGCTAGGTTAGAAGGTACCCTGACTAAGATGGCCCCAACAAGCATCTGACAAGCTTCACTGCCTGGATATAGCATTCTATGGTATTGATTTGGCTTTTTTGTACTATGGGAGCATAAAGTTCTGTAATAGCTCATCCTGCCTCAAGGATATAATAACCCATCTTGCCCCAAGGATAAGAAAAGAAGCATCCAAAGTGATATGAAGCTGGATGCCACTAGCTCACACCTGTAATCCTAGCTACTTGGAAGTCTGAGATTGGGAGGATCGAGGTTTGAGGCCAGCACAGGCAAATAGTTAATGAGAATTCATCTCCAAAATAGCCAGAACAAAGTGGACTGGAGTTGAGTCTCAAGTGGTCGAATGCCTGTTTTGCAAACATGGAGCCCTGAGTTCAAACCCCAGTCCACCAAAAAAAAAAAAAAATGGTATGAGAACTCTGAGACAATAGTTGATGGATTTTTTTTTTTATTTTAACCTAGTTTGATTACTGATCTATAATCAGCTAAATTATAACATCCCCAAATCAGAGGCTGTCTCTGCGGTAATTAGTAGTTTAACTCAGGAGTTGATGGACAGTTCTAGCCTTTTTGCAAGTCAGCCCTTTGGTGATAGGTAAAGTTTTACTGTCTTTCTGAAGGAATTCCTTGCCCTAATCTTCTCTTTTCCATCATCTCTTAGCACTCGCCTTAACGGTCTTTTAAAAATCAGTCTTGGAAGGCTGGGGACATTGTTTAGTGGCAGAGCAATGTGCTTAACATGTACAAGGCCAGCACATCTGACCTCCCCCCAAATTAATTTAAAGTAGTAATCCTTTCTCTTAATTTTCATCTTTTGAAAGTTGTAAAAATTTCTTAAATAATTCAGAAAAGATTCAAGCATAAATTGCCATTTTTATCATCTTAAATGAAAATGTGTATATCCTCTCCATAGAAGAAATTTAAATAGACAGAAGGAATGAACTTACATGTCTCTCATCTACATTTTCTTTAGTGTCACCATCACATTGGCTAGTGATTTATTTTTGTGTCTGTAGTGAAGGTAAAAATAAAATTTGTAGAGATATCCCTATGGTTATGGCATCTTTAAATTTTTCAAATTTGTTTGATTTGTGTTCAGATTTCTTTTGCTTTAGGCCAGGTGTGGTGGCTCACACCTGTAAAGCCTGAAATCCCATCTACTTGGGAGGCAGAGAGTGGGAGGATGGCAGTTTGAGGCCAGCCTAGGCAAAAAGTGAGACCCCCATCGCAACAAAAAAAGCTGGGAGTGCTGTGTTGTAGCTGTAATCCCAGCTACGTGGGAGGTATAAATAAAAGGATCATAGTCCATGCTGGCCCTGGCACAAAAAAAAAAAGCAGAACCCTATTGAAAAATAACTAAAGCAAAAAGGTCTGGGGTCATGGCTCACATGGTAGTACTGTAATAATAATAAGAAGAATAGTAAACAAAAAAAAAAGTAAAATAAACTGTATTGTTTCAAACGGAAGTAAACTCTACCTTGAATTTCTGTAACACAATACTGAAAACAAAAGTCTTCTAAACAATCTTATTTTTCTTATAGTCTACAAGTATGTTGTATGCTTTCATGGGATAGTCCCCAGAGTTGACATTAAAGATAGAGCATATAGGAAAACTGTGAGTTCAGGATTATGTGTAGAAAGAAACAGAGTAGCTTCAGAAAGAGTGAATGATCATTTAATAGTCCAGATGAAGGAAAAACAGATAAGGATGTTGTTGACGAGGTTAGAGCTAGAGAACCATGCCTTTCTTGTCTCTTCCAAATGAGGCCAGCTAACTCAGGGAGATACATTTTGAGGCAGACAGTATAGTGAACAGGCTTAGCACAATAGGATAATGATACTGACTGAGGCTAGAAAAAGAGTCAGGGAGACAAATGGTGAAGGAGGAGAGACTCAGAGTGTAGAAAAAGCACAAAACCATTTAAAACATATCAGGCCAGGAGAGAAGAGGAAAGAAAGAGAAGTGAATGCTGAGGAGACCAAAATTCAAAAAGCCAACATACACTTAAGTAAGAAGAGTCAGATTACAGTGAAGGCAACCACATAGCTTTTTAGAAAATATAATGGCCAGGGATAGATACGGTTAAATTGAGACACACTGTAAATGGTACAAAAAGTAACATCAGATGAATGCAGAAAGAAATAGAAGGTAGAAAGAAACCAATTACTTGCAGCTGTAGCATGAGACCTCAAAATATAACAAGACAAATAAATGAATTAGATATATTTAGAAAGACTCAGAGTGGGAGAGCGAGGAACTGGTACAGAATGGGAGCAAGGAGACAAACAGAGAAGAGGCAAAGAAATGGTTGAGACACGTAACAGAGAGCAGATGCCAGGATGAAAAGGATTTGGGAAAGAGTGGTGTACAAAGTAGCCATGGGTAGTACAGAGGCAGTAGCTGGAAGGCATGGATTAAATGACTGGATCAACATGGATTCAATAACTAGAAAGCTTGTTGTTTGACTGCAAAAGTACCAGTGGGGTAGTAGATATCCAGAAGTAGGACAAGAGGAATGGGATAATACTAAGGTTACTTACAGAAGATGACCAGAAACAGTATTGTAAGGGAGAGACATAATGGGCCAGCCAGATACATAAACAGAATACACAACAGAGAAACCATGACTAAGCATGAGACAAAAAGCCCAAGTAGCTATGAAGTGGGCTCAGAAAGAAATGAAGAGCAATGAATAAGCAAAAAAGACAAGGGGCTAAAATAAAGGAAAAGTAGTAATTGGTTTATGAGGAGAGAAAATTAATGAAGTATTAGTTAGATTCAGAATGAGACAGGCTGCACACTGAAGACAATCCAGGATCCATTGAAAAGATTTAGAGAAATGAAAGCAGTCAAGGGGAAAAATGGCTAAGGTATTCGAGTCAGTGGACACTGAAAAGAGCATAACAAAAGGTGTGGAGTGAGCAGGTACTTCAGGAAACATGAAGATAATTTATGGGATAAAACAGCTGTGTAAACAGGTAGGGAAAGTCCTGTGTAGAAGTTGCTGCAAAAAAGCAGGCAGAGAAAGAAAAGGCATGAGCTCAGACAGAGAGTCAGATATATTCAAAAGAATTTAGAATAGACTGAAAGTGAAAGAACCAGGGAAAACAAGAAGCAGCAAAAAGATGGAAAACTTGGCTTCACTCACAGAGATAGGGGAATGTTAAGTGACCTGAGAAAGATAAGGAATGATGAGGCCCACAACATGCTGACAGCAAATAAGTTTATGGGGAGTAGAGAACAAAACAAAACAGAGTAAGAAACACATCATAGTCCTTGTGGGACAGAAATAGTGGGTGGGGACAGTTAAGGAAATGGAAAGATACAGCTTGATAGAAAAGAAGCTAGTTTGTGCAGAAGGCTTTGCCTTGCTCAGTGAATGACAGGAGGAAGATGTTAATGCTAAGTTGAGGCCTGACTTTGTGGAATGCTTTTCTAACACCTTCCATGGTTGGCACACAGAAGAACTTTGGATTATTCTTGGTTGAGCTAAGAGAATATTTTTAAAAATAAAACTTTTTATGTTGTTATTGTTGCTTTTTAACAAATTTCTTGTAGAAGATATTACTGATACACTTTTTGTTTTTATTTTTGCCAGACAAGTGTCTTTAAGTGGATTATATCACATTATTCTTTCCCTGCCTCAAGTATTATCAAAACCTCTCAATCTATAAAACTTCAGTCATTTGTACCAGAGGAACCAGTATTTGAGAACCTTAAAAAAATATGATGTTCTAATCTCTTCAGCTTTTCAGTTAAAGAAGAGATCTCTCTGAATTGTTAGAGAATGTGTGCTTGATTGCTAGATAGCATTTATTCATAATACTTTGGTAATACTCCAGCTGTCTCTTCTTTTCTAACACCGAGACTTTAATTTTTCTTCTTCCTATTCTTTAATCTTCTTATATAGCAAGGACCGTGCAGCAACTACTGCTGGATCTGCTAGCCTGGCAGGTGGGCACCACCGGGAAGCATGGACCAGCAAAGGCCCCTCCTATGAGGACTTATATACTCAGAATGTTGTCATTAACATGGACGACCAAGAAGATGTTTATCGCACCTCTGTGGAGGGGAAATCTGCCAAAGAGAGACCCATTTGGTTGAGAGAGAGCACTGTCCAAGGGGCATATAGTTCTGAAGAGATGAAGGAAGGTAAGAGTAGAATCAGTAAAATGAATGTCTTGGGTTCAGTGGAAAATGAATTTGACTTAGAGCTCCATTTTTAGATTTGAAAAACTGCCATGCTATCTTCATTTCTTGGAAAAGTCTGTTGTGTTCAGGGTGGCCAAGTTTACCTTTCCTGTAATCTTCTGTTGGCCTTATTTATATGCATTTTATTTTTCTGAATTGGGAGCCATAAGTGTACAGTAGTCCAAACTTTTTAATGTTATTTCCTTATAAATACTGAGGAGTTTGTGCTGCTTGAAATATATGCAAAGAATACCACATGATAAAGGACTGAGCATTCTGACAGCCCAAAAAGATTGATAGAAATTTATTCTAGAAGATTTTGGAAATCTCTGTGAGCCAGACAGGTTGAGAATTTTATCATCTTCACAATTTTGAAAACTGCAAGATTTTACTTTTTAAATTCTAGTCTAAGTTACTGGATTTGGACTTTGGGTGATGATAAAGAAATGGGAGGCTAAGTCTGGACAAGGGCTACTCAGAAACAGAAAAGCAGAGGTGACAGTGAGTGTCTACCTCTGGTTAGATTTCATCATTCTCTGTTTCCAGATTATGTATCACCACTAACATTACCTGAGTGTGATTCTTTAATGCTAAAGAATAATCAGTAACTAAAAACCACTTGTGGGATTGTTTCTTTTTAACCTTTTTGTAAAAATAGCATGAAGTTTTAGGTAGTGATAGTAAAAGCAGATAATACCTCTAGTGTGATTCTCTTTGATCTTTATTGATTTTTTGGGTAGAAAGTGTAGTACTGGGGTTTGAATTCAGTGCCTTGCACTTGCTAGACAATCACTCTACCACTTGAGCCACAACTGCAGCCCTCTTTTTGATATTTCAGTTCCAGTCAAGGAAGAAAGAAAAGTTCCCTGACAACTGTACTTTACTCTCCCTCCTCCTCACTAATTAGCTTGCTATGTTTAGTTATTTTGATTCAAGTTGTTCTACTTTATATAGAAGTTAGGCTGTCTATTTAATAGATTTGTTTTCCACAACTTGGCTTATTGCCAAACCTTCTTTACTTTGAACTTAGAAACAAAATTAAAAGAATCAAAGTTGTTGTTGATCAATCAATATTCTATACTGTTAAGCTCTTAAATTTGATATTTACAGTTCTAGAATAGAATATGACTTATATGGACCTTAAGTAAGTTAGTCTACTCAAGTTCTCTCCATAAAATAGGATAGCATTTGTCTAATACTAGACAAATTTAGATTTGTCTTTGTTAAATTTCATGATGTTGAATAGGCCCCATCCAATGAATGTATGAAGTACTTCAACTTATATTGATACATTCTTGAATTTTTAAACACTTCAATCATGTCCTCATACAATACTGAAAGGTAATTCCTTTTGATTCTGTTTTCCTTTATAAATAGGCCTCTTTCCCAAGGCCACCTCCACCCTTAGGTTTTGTTTTTTCTTTTTAAAGACCATATCTAATCCTAATAAAATACTTCATTTGAGACTTAGTGACTAGAAATGGTACATGGTGTTTATATATAGACCAGTCATTAGTGATTTGAGTTTTATTTCTGTATCTTGCTGGTTTTTACCTGATTTTCTTTGTTGCTTTGGTTCTGGAAGCATGTTAGCACTAATAGATGCAAGGACCTATCAGTTCCCTCTCCTAACCTGCAGCTGATAGTTTGGATCATGTCTTTCAACTTCTTTTAGATTATTTTTCTATAAGCAGATTGTCCTGTACTTGTCTATATAAAAACCTACTACCTTAAACAACCTTAGCTCCTCTTGCACTTTTTGCTGTAGGAAAGCTGTTGAGCCCCCACAATTGCTTAGCATCATCAGCGATTAGAGACTCACATGCAATTCCTTACCCTTTTGTTGTTGTTGTAACACTGTATGGCAGTAAGAGCTCTGGAGAGGAGGTTCTGCCTTTGGCATTGTTTTGAAGTAGTTAAATTTGATTTAACTCCCATTTTGACATCTATGTTATCTTGAGTCTCTGTTCTTTGACCTCTTTTTCTCTCTCTCTCTTATGTGCCCAATATCTCACTTAGGAGTTCTATTCTTTACAAAATGTTCTGGCTCATACATGCTGTTGTGTTAATGAAAAGATGATTTCACTTCATGCATGGCCAAAATTGACCATTTCTGAGCCTTCTTTTGATGATGACAGTAGATAACACTTTCCTAGGTGCCAGTCCTGTTCTAAGCAGTTTACATCCATTTAATCTCCGCAGTAATTCAGTGAAGTAAATAGTAATTTTTTTCCTTTTTTGAACTTGAGAAAATAGAAATGTGACTTAATTAAAATCACAGATTTGTTTTAATCAAATTCTAAATGGTAGTATGTTTGGTATTATCAGAATGCAAAATACAAACTTAAAAAAAGTTTCATCTGCAGTATGTCAGTCAAGATGTACACACAAAATGATAGGAAGTGTGTGGTGATAGAAGATTTATTCCTGAAATTAGATACCTTTTTATAAAAAGTTCAAAGTATGCTTAGTTTGCTTCAGGAAAATAAAACTGCCATTTACTCACTCATTCGTCAAATACTTAGTGCCTAACAAGTGGCAGGTATTATCTCAGTACATGGGATATCGGTAAATAAAAAAAGACAAATGCCTGTGTTATAAAGTCTACATTCTTGGAAAGGAGATAACAAAGATAATAGACATAAGTTATTTATTATGTTAGAAAATAAATGCTGTGGGGGGAAAAATAGAGCATTGGTAAAGTGGCATTTGAGTGAAGACTTGGAAAGATATTCCAGGCAGAGGAAACAGGGCATTTGTACAATGCCCTGAGGTAGAAATGTGTCTGGTATATACAAGGAATACAGTGGAGGCTACTATAGCTGGAGCTGAATGAGTAAGAGAAAGGAGAAATAGGTAAGAGGTTAGGTGGTCAGGAGGGCTTCCAGATGAGGTAGAACCATAGAGACTGTGGTAAAGCCTTTGACCTTTCCTCTGAGCCATGTGAGGAGCCATATTTTGATTTTCTGTTTTTGCCATCTACTATACTTGGTCCTACATAGACATCATTTCATATGTTCTTATCCAGAGCCTTGTAAGGTGCATCCTTTTATTACCTTATTTTACAGAAAAAGTATGGGAGTTTAGAGATTAAATAACTTGCTCAACGTAGTAGGTACCTCTTGAGTATAGAAGAGCCCAGATCAGATCTGTGCTATTTTACCCGTAAAACCCACATACCGACCATTAAGCTACTCAAGCTCACGTTTGCAAGAAACATTTTAATATTTTATAGTACAGCAACTCAAGAATGAAAGCAGTGAAGGCTGTGTCTCTTATTATCTATTAAATTATACAATTCATTAGTCACAAAGAAATGCTTTCTAGATTTAAGGATCTTTCTGGGTTTCACCCCCAGGTGGCATAGATATGGACACATTTCAGGAGCATGAGGAGGGCCGTGCAGCGCCTGATGATAATGAGGAGGTCATGCGAGCACTCCTCATTCATGAGAAGAAGACTCCCTCTGCCACAGCTGGCTCAGTGGGGGCAGCTGCTCCTGTGACTGCTGCCAATGGCAGTGACTCAGAGAGTGAGACCAGCGAGTCAGATGACGACTCTCTGCCACGTCCTGCAGCCGTAGCTGCGCGTCATCGGGAAGAAGATGAGGAGGAGGACGATGAGTTTGAGGAAGTAGCAGATGACCCCATTGTCATGGTAGCTGGCCGTCCATTCTCCTACAGTGAAGTGGGCCAGCGGCCAGAGCTGGTGACCCAAATGACACCAGAAGAGAAAGAAACATACATAGCAATGGGACAGCGCATGTTTGAGGACCTCTTTGAGTGAAATTTTGCTGCTTTCTGTAATGCTAATTTCAAAAAGAAACTCTCTACCTTTGAAGAAAAGTGTTTAAGTGGCTCCTTGTCCCTCTTTATGTAAAGCACCTGTTAATCTAGAGCAAAGGCTAACAGGAGAGAAAGTTTGGGTTTTATGCCAGAAACTTCCCAGAAAGGTAGGTTGACTAAGCATTCCCTTCCCTGTTACCACTGCTATTCATATTTTACTGTATTTCCTTATCTCAGTTTTTCCTTTCCTTTTTAAAAGACACATTTTTCTCCCTCTAAAACACTGGGGGAAGTCCGTAAGGTAAATTCTTCTTGCCTGCCTACAGAAGCCCACTATGAATGTTATGGTAATTTGCTAGTGAAATCCTTTTTATCTGTTCTGACCCAAGTATTCCAAACAATTCCTTATATTGCTGTCAATCAAAGGAGCTTGTCAATAGGCAAATCTCTGATAAGAGGTGGAAAAGTCCTAACAATTCATCTTCCCTCAAATTAAGGTTAGGGTCAGTATGTAAGGGGAGGTGATGGTGTGTGTAGAAGAGGAATATATATACCGAAATCTTGTGATTAATATCTAAACCAGAATTTGTGTCTTTAGAACTGATCAGATTGGTGGATTCTATTGTTTTGCTTAATGCTTTTTGGTTTAGATTTTGAGTTTTAGAAAACAAAAGTATGCTTGGTAAATCCTTATGAAGAGATTAGAAAAAAATGTGGACAAACGACAGAGTCCATGTAAAGTGCTGAGGATAAGAGAGCATTGGCAACAGTGCCTTATGACTGCCTGGGTTCTGATTTGGAAATCCTTTATGTAGAGTTGAGATTGGTCCCAGTTTTTTCTGTTGCTTCTATAGATCTCTTGCTATAAATTAAAGAGACCATTCCAGCAGAGATCAGCATAGAATAATTGATTATTCCACTATCTCTCTCACTTTCAAACATCATTAAAGACTTTCTTTGTGTCTCTTGAGTGTTGTCAAACATACTTTAGTGCACCCAGTATATTGTTGAATATTGTAACATCAAAGAACATGCTTTATTTGAGCTCTGATATGTATGTGGCATGGTATTATTCCTGGTGGCAGAACTTTAAAAATAAAAGACTTTCATATAAAGGTCTGCAACAATTATATTTTTTTTAATTCTAACAATTGTATTTTTTGTATCATTTTTCCTTGCATTGTAATTTTTAAGTATTTATCATTTTAGAGTACATGTGTTAAGTTAAGATAGTATTTTAGACTATCTGAGCCTTGTACAAAGTGATGTTTCATTTACTTGGGTTGTATTAGTGACTGAATATTGAGAATAAATCCATTTTATACTGACTGAAACTTGTTAATTTCTAGCTTTGTAACATCTTGGAACAAAATTAAAATGTGTACTCGTCCCATCAAAAAATGTTAAAGACTTTTTTTCTCTACTAGTCATCTTATTTCATTTAATAGGTGTAATTGTATGTGATCTAGACTTTTTCTGGCAATAAGTTGCCTTAAGAACGACGACCTTTATATATGTATCTCTTATACATGAGTCTATTCATCTTTTAAACATTGTTAAACTTTTATAGTTCTAGAAAGAGGTTAATTTAAATGAAATGATAACCAGATGCTAATTTTTTAAACATGGTTAATTTGTAAAACTATCTGTTCTTTTTAAAATTTTATGTGAGTATGTATATATATAAGTGTGGAATTGTGTTATGGAAAAATGTCCCAAGTGGAGACAGAAGTATAAAGGTACTCATCTCAGGAATGTGTGAAATAGAATAGAAAGATAGATAGGGTCACTAAATGTGTGAAAATCAAGAATTAAATATTTTTCCTTGCAACCATGTAGCCATTTAAAAAAATATATTATCGAGCCAGGTGTGGTGCTTGTAATCTAAGCACTTGTGAGGCTGAGGTAGGAAGATCATGAGATTGAGGCCAGCCTGGGCTGCATAGTAAGACTGTCTCAAAAACAAAACAAAACAAAAAATAATATATTGAGAAGAAAAAATACTCATAATGTGTTAAGTATGGAAGTATTTAGTTTTTTTCTAGGGAGTGGGGTGGGATGAGGTGGAGTGTGTGAAAAGGAAAAATTGCCTAACATATAGTGCTATGTGGCAGATCCTACATTATATATATAAACTAATTTAATATTTTGTAACAAACCTGTGAGGTAAGTATATGTATATAAAAATATTGGGAATGAGAGTTACAGTGATCTGAATGTATTACAATGGGAAAGATGTTCCCATTTTGGGAAAAAAAAAATCAAGTGGACAATTAATGAATTTCATGTAGGAATAACTTATAGAGATAGCAGAGTGTACTGGCAGAGTGGCTCAAGTGGTAAGATCACCTGCCTAGCAAGCATGAAGCCCTGAGTTCAAATCCCAGTGCCACCACAAAAAAAGAAGAAATAGCAGTGTGACAAAAACAAGCTCTTTTTAGATTAATGCTAGGATTTTTAGATGTAACCCTTTTTTGTTTTTAAATCCTTGTTCAATGTTTCCTTGAATAAACACTTGATTTTCTAACTCAATTATTAAGAATTATTAAGCCTATTTTATGGCAAGTGGTAGAGAATGAGAGTTACAGTGATCTGAATGTATTACAATGGGAAAGATGTTCCCATTTTGGGAAAAAAAAATCAAGTGGACAATTAATGAATTTCATGTAGGAATAACTTATAGAGATAGCAGAGTGTACTGGCAGAGTGGCTCAAGCGGTAAGATCACCTGCCTAGCAAGCATGAAGCCCTGAGTTCAAATCCCAGTGCCACCACAAAAAAAGAAGAAATAGCAGTGTGACAAAAACAAGCTCTTTTTAGATTAATGCTAGGATTTTTAGATGTAACCCTTTTTTGTTTTTAAATCCTTGTTCAATGTTTCCTTGAATAAACACTTGATTTTCTAACTCAATTATTAAGAATTATTAAGCTCTATTTTATGGCAAGTGGTAGATAATACATGTTAAAATGAAGCTTCATAACAACCAACCAATAAGTAAAATCCCAAAAGGCTTCTGATGTGCTATAGTAATTAGGATTAGGTGAAGGGTATTTTAATTGAAGGATTAGTATAAGTGGCAGGTTTAGGATTGAGGATGTAGCAAACCACAGCCTAAGTAACAGCTAATTAGGTTTCTCTTTCCCCATCTTGCCAAGGTTCTTTACTTCTAGTCATTGAGTGACTGAAGTACTGGAATCTTTCATAACTCTCTGTTGGTGTTGAGAGAATTGGACACTTCATAGGATCAAGATTGAGAAGAGAAAGTTCATTTTCTTCTCTTCTACAAGTTGGCTCTATGGCTAGATGTCCAGCTAGGACCACAATGGAGAGACAGACATACCTTCTTATTCCCATGTGTGAAGTAAGGAACTAGGAAATGACAAAAGTCAAATATGAAGCTGGAGTGCAGCTCCGTGGTAAAGCCCCTGCCCAGCACATACATGCTGCAATCCCAGCACACACATAGAACAACAAATCGGAAAATCTTCTGAATTTAGGAATTGGTGTAATTCTACTTTCTTTTGCTTAGCATTTTGTTTTCACTGAAGCTATTTCATAGGTGTTGTCTTTAAGAGCTGGGGCTGCTATCACTTTTTAATATCTAAAATTCTCTTGGGTAAATGAGGAGGATTATTAGAAACGCATTGTGGTAGATTTGCTGTCCATTTTGTTCTTTCTGCTATAAAAGAAGTAAAATAAACTAAACAAGATAGGTGTGGGTACTCTTAAAACCTGCAAGGCAAAATTGGCTGGAAAAGGAGAAAAGTCATGAAACCTTAACTTCTTCCTTTCACAAGCTAAAGGAATGAGCTAATTCTGGCATGCCCTTAAGGGCAGGACCAAATACAGTACCTTCTCTTCAGAAAGAGCTCTATGTCCTGAGTACCAGAGGCAGCCTTTCCTGTTGTAGTTGCAAAGCAGCCTAGTGCATGACCAGTTTCAGCAATCAACCCATGATTCCCATCATACGAAATTACATTTCACCTACTTAATGTAAGTAAGTCTGAAAAATTAATCTGGAAAGAGGGCTATGCCAGGCCCTTGAATCATGATAACACAACATAAGATGGTCAAACTGAAAAGTTCTCAGCCCTTCCCTTCTCACTACCCTGAGGTAACCATTGTTGGATAGTTTTGTTTTTTTTACAAATTTTTGTATAATTTTTATTAGGTACTTAATGTGTGCAGCATGATGTTTTGGTTTATATGCATGTACATAGTCAAATCAACTCATACCCATCATTTCACATTGTTACCCGTATGGCACAGCACTTAAAATCTATTTTCCTAACAAATTTCCAGTATACAATACAACTATAGTTATCACACTCTCATATTGTACCTTAGACCTGGGCTTATTCATCCTACTACATATAATGTTATTTTTTTTTACATACAATGTTTTTATTTAAAGTTAATTCCATTTTTTCATTCAACCTCCATTCAAAGGATGTAGATACTGCCTTGTAGCAGAAATAAGTGGTTTTTATTATCATAAATTATCAAAAGAATTTCATTGTGATATTTCCATCATGTAAATAGTGCACTTTGATCAAATTCACCCCTTTATTACATGTACTTAACCCCCTTCCTTCTCCCCTTCCTCACTTATTATTGCTGACAGTTTAATGTCTATCATCCAGGACCTTTTCTAGGTCTTAAGCCCCCACTCCCCCAGATATACAACACTGATTTTTACATAAATGGAGTTGTAATCATATACTTTACCATCTGCTTTTGTAAAAATGAGGAGTAGATAGAATTTAATAGTGTTTGATGGCTTCTGTTTCATTCCCTTATGATTGGTAGTTTTACCCTTACATTTTCATTCTCTTTTATTTCTATAAGATAGAATCATAAACACAAAATAGCCAAAGGGTATATTAGTCTGCTATGTTCCTGTAAGAAAATACTTGAAGTTGGATACTTCATAAAGAAAAGAGGTTTATTTACTTCACAGTTTTTGAGACTGAAAGTCCAAGGTCAGGCAGCCCCATCTGTGTGGCCTCAGATCAGGGCCCACTTGGCCATGCCAGAACATGGCAAAGAAGTGAAAATGGAAATGACCATGTGCAGAAGAGACCAAGTACATAGGGTGAACTTGCTTTATAATGACCTACTCTAAAAACTTTGAAGAGGAGAATTAGTAGGATTTGGATAAGGCAATGCCTTAGATGATTTCAAGTTTCTAAGTGGATGGTAGCTGCATTCACCAGGGGCGGAAACACAGGAGAAGATTTTACTCCTGTTGGAGATTCAGGAAATAGCACCTGTATTTCGCCTACAAGTTCAAGCCAAAAGTTTTTTAACAGTTGTCCATCCTTCCTTTTTTCATCGCACATCAAATTTATCAGCAAGTCCTGTAAGCCTGAAAATATAATCTAATTTCTATAATATAATTGTGAAGGCAGAGCTGACAGGACTTGCTGATAAATTGAAAAGAGATTGTAAGTCTAACTTCTTACCTCCGCCACTACCACCCTATTCTCAGTTACATCAGTTCTTGCCTTAGCTACTTGCAACAGCCCTCCTAACTGGTCTCCCTACTTCCATTCAAGATTTTAGCCATTTCCCACATGCACACAGGGAGTTTTTTTTTTTTTTTAAATAAAAGTCAGATGATCTTACTCCATTGCTTAAAATCTTTCACTGATTTTTCTTCCAAACCTCTTACCTTTTCCAACATTTCCTACATGGTCCGGCCTTTAGCTGCCTGCATCTCTTCCTAGTTTCCTTGCTAACTACTCTAGCCATACTGACATTCTCTTCCTCAAGTAGGCCAACCTTTTTCCTGCCTTAGGTTTTTTGCCTAGCTGTGTTGTCTGCATATAACATTCATCTCCACTCTTCTCTCTGTTACTTCATTCTTAACTTAAATGTCACCTCTCTGTCCTTCCTATCTAAAGTAATCCCCCATTCACTGTTGTATTTCCTGTTTTATTTTTTACTGTAGAATTTATTGTTTTTATCAGCTCCTCTCTTGAAAAGACTATAACCCCCATGAGGGCTTATAGTCTAGCATATAGAATTATACTGCATATAGAATTAATTCTGTTGCATAGTAAGCTGTCAGTAAATGTTATATGGATGGATGGAGATGAAT